AAAAAAAAATAAATAAAGTAGTTGTGTATACATCATCACAATCGTTTTTGTTTTTTTCACAATAAGTTCTAATGCTCCCTCGCCCCTCCCAGATTCATAGATTGCTCCCCAATTCCCCTCTCCCCACCCCGTTCCAGATAAACCACTGCATCAGTTATTGTCTCTATGCATCCACTCCTTCTGTGCTTCTTAAACTAGGAGACCTAACAGAAACAATAAAAACACAATGAAGCAGAAAGAAGAAAACAATAATAATATAAAGATAAAAATAAAGCTTAAGGAGGAAAAGGCCGCCAACAATATTTTAAAAGCCAAAGAAGAAATTTCTGTCTTGGAGCAATCAAGAAATATTCGAGCCAAAGCAAATGCAAGTTCAGTCAAAAGAGGTCAAGGATCATACCATACCATGGGTCGATCCACCACCATCAAGTTGACAACAATCTCTGTCTGATGGTGAAGCTGTTCGAGTCCCTGGCTGGTGACTAGAGGGGATCTGCCAGAGATAGCCTCTGTTGCTATTTATTCTCTCTTGTCCTTTCCTTGCCGATTTGTGGAAGTTCTTTATGTAGTTTATAGTAAATCACTCCTTACATCCAGTGTACAAGTTGTCTATTTCTTTTAAGGTATCTACTGATAAACAAAAGTTGTTCGTGTGAATGCAGCCACGGTCTTTTCTCTCTTTATGAGGAGTGCTCTGTGTCTTGCGTGAGAAGTTTGCTTTTCCTCTTAAGTACCACCTATTTTCCAGGCATGATCTGCCTCCACGGCTGGCATGAGAACTCCATTCTAGGCTATGCGTTGTACTGCCGGCCTCACTGGGACTGTTCACAATCATAAAAGGGCCAGATGGCTCGATTTTAATGTTACTGTCCTCTACTTCCCACGCTCTCTAATGGTGTTGCTAATGAACGCCAAGGAGGGCCAGCTGAGAGCGAACTGCTAACTCGGGGTGAAGTCACGCAGGGTTGTGATAGAATTAGAGGGAGCAAACAGATGGAAAGTACAAATATGAATCTATATGCCTCTATTTCTATGTTTCTTTCCACTAGAGTAGCACCAGGAAATGGAAGCTGGGTGACTTACAATTGTCTTCTCTCGTTTTTGCTTGCGCAGGCGTATTTATAAAGCTGGAGCCTGGGAAAAGTTTAGTATAAAAGCACTTCCAGTGAAATCCACACCTTTCTGCCTCAGGCCCACCCTCAGCGAGGGGCAGCTGTTGGCTCCGCTCCTGCCCCTTCTCACCCCTGCCAGACGCCCCAAGCGAACAGCCGCTAACACCAACCCTCCTGGACAGCCTGCTGGAAACTGCTCCAGGAACCTGGGCCTGGCCCCCGACGCGTGGGCACAGAAGGCCCCTGAGAAAGCTGCAGCAACATTCTGTGCCCCGTAAGGATGAGTATCCAGACTTCCCCCGAGATTTGAATGTGCTCCCTGCAGTCCTGCCAGCCCAAGGGCTGTACCGCTGTAGACTGGAGGAAAAGCTCGTTATTAAAACTGTTCCTGCTGATGTGGGTACGCGAGAAGGAAGGAATAAATGTGTGGGTGAAGGCATGTCTCCGTATGAGCACGTTGTAATTGACAGCGTTCCTTTCGTTGTATCTGAACAAACACGTCTTTTGGGCTAGTGTTAAAGTGTGTGGTGGAGGCACCTGGCCCCTGCAACTCCACAAGGCAGAGGGAGGGGAGCCTTGCCAGCTGCAGCAGCCCAAAGCTGATCCCTGTGCACTGGAGGTCAGACATCCATCCCCTCACCAGCCCTTTCACCAATTGTGACACTGTCATGTCTTCATCAGTGTCCACCATTTCACCCTGCCCGTTTCTAATATCCAGTACAGTGGCTACACAGCAACTCACAGACACAATTCATGAGTAAAGGGTTTAATAAGAAAGTTAACAAATTGTAATACCGATGCTTGAGTAGTTTACCACATGTTACAAAGTTTCAGGCCTGCTAATAAGTGTCCAAGGGGGCACACCACCCTGCTGTGAGCCTCGACTCAAAGGCATTCAGCTCAAACTGCAGGTCAGCAAGCCCAGCTCCCTCAATTAAGCGTCCAGAGGCAGGCACTCTGTAAGCCAGTCTCCCACACAAAAGCAGCCAAAGACCACCCCTCTGTTCCGTGCTCTGGGTCCTGATTCTGCTGCTGCTCCTCTGATGGTATAGCTGTCATCTGGATCCAGGAGGTTCACTGGGCTGGGATCTGAAGTCCAGATGACAAATTCCACTCCTGGCTCTTGCTGGTAACGAAGTCCTGGCAGGGACAGAACAGGGACGTCTGCACTGTGTGCTAAGGGGATGAACTAAGGCCCCATGAAACAAGTAATGAACAAAGGACTCTTGGCACTGGCTTGGTAAATGCCTCCTTATCCTTAAAGCCAGGCCCCAGTAACATTCTGGCACAAGATTGTACTTGAGAATTCTGAGACATGCTGACCCAAATCAGCAGCCCAGATAAAACTGACATGTGGGAAGCAGAACCGGGACAAGAGTGTATGAGGACAAACTCTCGACATTCATCCATTAAGAAGGACTGGAGGCCAGGGCTCCCTGAAGGGAACCTTCACGCTTGTGGGTTAGAGACGTGTCCCACTCACCTGTGCCTAAGTAAAATCATTCCCCATGATGTCCCTCCATAATAAAGCCAAATTGAAGGTGCTGTTTGCAAACATAGGGTCACTGACTATTCTCTTGGAGGTCACCTGCTTGAAAGGTATCTGCCTAAAGGTTGTCAGCCATCTAAGGCAATCAGACCCTGTTGTCTATCCCACCTGGAGTGCAGGATGATAGATTGTTCCCCAGCCAAAGAGCTCAAGGACACCTAAGGTCAAGCCATCTCAGATGATCAAGGTTAGGCTGCCATCTTGACTAGAGCCTACCCATCTTGTTACAGGTGTGCCTTCCTGTCACACGTATGCCTCTAGTACAACCCTTCCTGTTACATGTGTGCTCACCGTGGCCTGAGTGCCCGAGATTATATAACCTCACGAGATTACACTACTCTGTCTGCTCGGACCTGGCTCCTGAAGTCATGACTAAGGCGGTGAGCCTTTGCATGCTTTATCTTATCTGATCTCTCTTTCATTTACCCTCCATGATACAACCCATTCGGTTGTGGAGAGGCTGGTCTCCCACACTGAAAAAATGATGTGCGAGACCCACGGACTAACTGAGTAACTAATTAGCTGCTTAACAATCTGCAGGGCAGCAACCCACTCCCCTTTGAGAGTGCCCTATGAAAGCTAGAAGAGGTCCCTTGATAACATCCTCTGAAATCGGGAAGAGGGGTCCCCTACCTGCCCGCCCTCCCGCTCCATACACACACAGTAGAATGTATCTTACCTATGCTCAAGGTAGCCCTTCGCAACTCTCAAAAGGAACTGCTTCATTTCTTTTGAAGTGACGCTGCCTTAATAAACGTGTGGCTTAACTCTTTGCTGCTGTGTATATATGTGTGTGGGAATGAGGCTTATCTCTAGATCTATGGGTTTGGAGCTTGCTAGTTCCCCCACCCCTCAACCCCGCCCTGTGGACAACAGCCGGGAACTGAACTTCACAATTCCTCCTCCTACTTCTCAGAGGGCTCACTTTAGACACAGCATGACGGCACTCCCTGGAATCCTGTTCATAACGACTCGCTGGTGAACCCTCTCAGTATCTTCCCAAACCCACGCAGGGAGAGGTCGTCTGGTGGGAGTTAGAGACTGTGGCTAGAAGAGCCCCCTTAAATAAGTCACTGCCCTGCAGACACCAATCATTCCTCCCAGGGCTTCCTTCTCGGCTAGGGGGGCTGAGTCGCTGTAATGGCCACACGGAACTCACAGACCCTGCTCACCCTGCTCGAGTCTCTTGGAGAAGTGACACGTGACAGCTCAGGCTCAGGAGCCCTCCGGAAACAGTGCTTTGATCACGACAACCTCTTTCTGCCATCTGTCCCCAGGCCCTGCTCAGGCAGGAGTTACAGAGCTCTTTCAGTTCTGACAAGTGCCCAGAGGCATCCGACTCCACTCGTAGGCCTCGCCCCCCAGGTGCTCCGCTCTCGTCTGCACTGGCAGAGCCATGGTGCCCCTGCCGCCACCATTTCTCTGCCGCTGTTTCCTGCGGTCTCGCACCATCTCTGGGGTCACAGCTCGCACTGCCTCCTGGCTCACAGCCCAGGGACCCTGTGTCCAAAGAATATGCTCTCTTCCTATAGCTCTTCGTGGGGATGAGGTTTCCCTCTTCGCTCTGGGATTGGCTCACTTTTCATCCTAACAAGATGGCAAAATTGAAGACCCCCTTGTTAGAGTTCCACTCACCTTATTTGCATGGTCCCACACCCACAAAGGTACCATGTACTTTACTTACATTTTTATCGAGCTATCTAACCCCCTTGGTATATGCCATAAGCCCCTTGTTTTGCATCGTCCAACTTCAGTCATTGGATGGCGGTGAAAAGAGTATAGCTGGGTGAGCAGTAATAAAATGCACAGTCCTGCAACTCGTTGAGGCTAGTTCCTGCAGGAGTGGATCTGACGTTACAGATTAAGCTAGTGGCTGTCTTTAAATTGCCCGGGCTGGATTCTTATCAACATAATTTATCATCACTGATGGAGCTTAGGTAAGACTGATAAGTGAATACAGCGAATGTTCTGGAGAATACATTCTGCTTCCAAATACAAACGAGAGGTTCTATTGGTTTCCATTTCTTGCTTGTCTTTACTCTCTTTGAAAGCTTAGGTTGACTCATGAAAGCACCTGTTACGAAGGCTAGATGAATTCTGACAATTTCCTGTGGCTCAGTCTCATAAATTAGGGACAGCCTCGTGGGACCCTCGCCGTGATCCATCTCCCAAAGAGCAACTGGGAGGCCTCTGCTGCCAGAGCGGACTGACGGAGATGACCGAGCCCAAGGAAGACCCATGTCCTGGAGACTGTGCCCACCTGTGGTCTCTGAGCTGCTCAAAGGCCCCCACGAGGGGCCGTGCAGAGGTGAGCATCAGTGCCTTCCCTCTAGAAACTGGTGGAATTTGGACAGTGCCCTGGAGGGGGCTGGGCTTGCCGCTCTGCCATCTACACATCTGGCAATAGTCCCCTCTCTTCCCAATCTTTCATCCATCCAGTCCTGAAGCCTTGGGACAGCTTTTGTGGGTGGAAACCCACCCACAAAAGACCCCGCCACGGAGCCCTTTCCAATGCACAGCCGCCCTGTGGACACAGCAGAATTGCCCCTCGGCATGTTCTTTGTCCTTTTTGGACAGTTTTATTGGCACTTCATCCACATCTCACACAGTTCAATAGTTCGATCATATCAAGAAGAGTTGTACAATCTTTACCACAGTCAATTTTAGAACATTTTCTTCTTCCTTGTACTCATTTATTATGTAATTTTTTTCAATCTTGGCAAACACATACAGGACAAAACATTCTCCAGTTCAACAACTTGTGCATGTATAATTCAGTGCCATTGATTAAACTCTTCATGTTGTACAAATTTTATTGATATCCCTCTCCAACTTGTTCCACCACCATTAAAATAAACTCAGTGCCCTCTAAGCAAAAACGCTTCCTCCTCCACCCATGGGAACCATAGAGCAAGTTTGGTTTCTTTCTTGCTTTTTTTTAAAAAGTAGTTTTCTTGATATAACTTTCCCATAGCATACACTCATTTGCATAGTTAAAATCGCATTTTAGAAAGAGTTGTATAGACATCATCACCATCAGTTCTCATGCTCCCTCCTCCGGTCTGCATTTCTGAGACTAAATCTTTAGGGGAGCAGATAGCCTCATCTTTCTCGCTTGAAGCAACAGGTGTGTTGGAACTCCCATCATTGCAGTTAGCAGCCTGAGACTGGTTAGCCTTCAGCACCACCAGGGCTGCTCCATGGAAACCAGGCAGGTGGAAAATGCAAGGCTCAAAGAGCAAGCCCATCTAAGCGAGATGCCAACTAATTGCACATGGAGGAAGCACACCATCAGTCGCCAAAGGACGCAGAATCCATATAATCCAAAGTCGAAGGAGGGATCAGTATCAGAGGCTAAATTCTGAGAATCCTGTGCAGAAGGCGATGGATGGCAGTGGGAACCCAAGACTCGTTTGTGGAACTCCACAGGAAACCAGCCTCCAGAGAATGCCCCGTATGAAACTGAGGGATGGGAGGAGAGTGGTTACTGAACAGAGTGCTTGGGAGGGATGAGTATAGAAGAGCTAAGGCATAAATCTAACCTGAGCAGTTAAACCTTTGTCAACAGATTCTCCCTATGATGCAGGCGGCACCTGATCTGGTTTCCAAAAGTTTCAGTGTTTTTTACTTGTAATGTATAATTTGGTTTTTGTTTGTTCATAGTACAGTGTATCTAAGAGGATACACTGTATCCTCTTACATCAGTGGAGGTCACCCTCTTGAAGCTGG